TTCAGAAAGGCTTTTTTTGTACAAGCAAGACATCACCTCAGGCAGTAATTTAGAAATACATGAAATATGATAATTGTAAGACATTTTACATTATGTACTTTTTAGTCCCACCCTTTGGTGATTGAATGAACATAACTTTTGAAATTATTATAAGATATCATTAAGTGTTGATTTTGATTAAACTTATACTTTGATAGTTACAGAATAAGATTTTAGTTAGGTACTATCACTAATTGCAACACAGGTGGATTTCACAGGTAACAAAAATCAAGTTCATTATAACAAGGTCTTCCTGCATTATATAGCTAGGCATCAAGGAAATGTATTCCCCTATAGGGTTTTTAAAGGATGAAGGTTTCTTAAACTTAATACAAAAAGTATTATGCCAGAAAAATTTAATCAGATGCCTCATATTATTTGTATAAAATTTAAAGGCAAATGGAAAAGGAACATGGTAAGTGCATGTATTATTTACAGAAAATCTTAGACTAATTTAGAAAAAAGACAAGTACTTCTGACAAACCATCTAGCTCTATTTTTGCCCCAGGTAGTGACATTTATTGGAGGAGAACATGATTTTTTTATAACTTTTTCAATTACATTTTTGTGTTACACTGTTCTGTGTAATTTAAATCATGTAGTTCATATGTTTCCAACCATTTGATTCCTTAGAGACACTACATAAGAGTGAGATAATCTGAAATGTTTTATTTAGAAGTAGAAAAATCACATAAAACATGCTTAGTTTTTAAAATATATGTTTACTTTTAAAAAAAAGTAAATTTCATAGTAATATCAAAGTATTGAATATAACCTCAGTCTAGTTTCTGAACATGACTGAGTATAATCTGATATAACCTACAGCACCTAGGTAAACCTATCAATTTTCCTTTGTTAGTGTTTGAGTATCATCAATCCTCTTTATATCAAAAAAAATCACACATTTTAATCATTGAAAAAATAACAACCTAGTATCTATGAGACCAAATGTTTACAAACACATGCAAACACTTTGAATGAGAACTGAGGTACACAGCTATACTGTTACAGAAACTCATACAAATCTAACACTAAAACAATACTCAAGGATGTATGATGTCAACACTCATGAAACTACTATACAGAGATACAAATTATGCTGCTGCTGCACAATATCATTAAGTATTGAGCACTGTGAGTGTAGCTGGGAGGGTAGAGTGTTTGCATAACATATGGGTAGTCCTTAGTTATGTACCACATAAACCAGACATGGCATCACTTCCCCGTAATTGAAGAACCTGGGGAAGGAGGAAGGAGGGTCATAATTTCTAGGCTATTCTTATTTTATAGCAAGTTCAAGTTCATTTTGGACCAAGGGGAGGTGGAAAGAGGGAAAAAGAGGGATACTTATCAGTATTTTGAGAACCTTATAAGCATAGCTAAGATAAATATAAAGATGCAAATATAAGGAACTTACAATTTAGTGGGGATTCAATGGAATAATATTTCTTTCATCAATTAAAGTGTTAACCGAATTTTTTCACTAAATATGAGACTACAAATCGGGATAAGACAAGTCTCTGGAAAGATAGGTAAGATGGTGCATAAATAATGGATTGCAAGGAAGCAAATCTGAAACTGAAATTGTACAGAGTGAGATGGAAGCACTTTAAACAGGTGATTATTCAGAAAAGACACTACATATATTGAGTCTGGCACAGCTTTAGGTTTGATCCAACTGAGGCAAGGCGAAACGATAAAACAAAAGATACCCATACAGAGAAGCTGGGATAGGTTGGGTCGTGCTCTTTAAGGAACAAAGCACCAGCAAGCTAATTATATACATCTGAATAGAGGAGCCTGGTTTATTGTATACAGCTGAACAAGGAAGTGAGTTTAGCATATAGAGATGAACAAAGAAGAATGTTTAGCCAGTCTCAATTTGGGTCTTTATGGTGGAGTAGTCAATAGCTAAAAATAATCAGGAATAGGCAGCTACAGAGGACCTTTTGTGATCTCACTGCCAACATCTATGCATGGAATATTTGCCTTTTCCCTGAGCCTGATTGAGGAAGGCTTTGCAATTGTCATGAATGGAAAGCTTTGGAAAGCTTGACATGGCCGAGTTCATAACATTAGACACTACCTTAAAACTTTTTCCTCTCTTTACTCATTCACTCAGTGCTTTCTCCATTCCCTACAAACTAAATCTAGATAGCAAAGAAGACAGAAAAGAAGCTAATTGGGGAGGTAATAAGCAACTGACCCTCAAAACTGTAATCTGATGGAAAGAAATTTTTTGACATACTTTGATAAAAATTTATGATGTCTTACACAAGAGGATTTGTTGGGGTCATGAGCTCCAAGCTGTGAAGCATTCCCCTAACTCATTAGACACTTTGCAGTTGAAGTAATTTTTTTAACATAAACAATTTGTGTTGATCTATTATGTTGAACATATACATGGCCACTTGAAAAGTTAGAAAGAACTGTTTTGATTTATAGTTTGTGGGTTTTGTGTGGTAGTAAATTCACTCCATGACTCTAGATTTTGTACTCTAGTAGTATGTCATGGGAAATGGGCATGGCAAACTTACTACTCATGGTGGCTAGGAAGAAGAATGCATATAGAAGTGAAAGATGACTAGATGCATTTTTCACTTAGTAATCTATTTCTTCCAGTCTTTGAGGTTTCATTAGTTACCAATAATGTCTATCAATTTGATGCTGTCAGTAAGTAACTCTGTTGTTAAAATCAGAAGTGACATTACCCAAACACTTCTCATAAATCCATTCAAGTGCTAAGCAGACCTTTAATCTATGAGACTTTTGAGGAGTATTTAATATTGAAACTCTAACACTAATTGTATATAATCAAGTTGGTGGTCAAGATTAACCATATAGAAGTAGTGTTATTAAAGTGTTTTCAAATATGTCTAAGCATAAGTCCAAAATTGGATTTTAAAAAGGGAAAACAGAAACAGAAAGGCTAATTAGAAAGCCATTGCTTTAGTTTTCTGGAAAACTTATAAAAAACATAATTTAAGTGGGAAAACAGGTTTAGTGATTTTCTTTTTGACTGAAATCCCTTCAAAAGGTGTTTCATTTAATTCTCACCAGGATCTTTCATAGTTGATATTATTATGGCTAATTATAATGATTAAAAGAAGACAAAACTGAATCTCAGGGAGGACATAAATCAAGACCAAATCACATGCCAACATTGATTAAAGCAAGATTTTGAAATTCAATTGAACAGTGAAATTATCACTGTGTAATTAAATATATGGGTCAAAAATGGAGAATAAAATTGTATCTACTTAAAGATAACTTAAACAGAAAAGATTAAGGAAAAGGAAATATTGAAGGTGTTGATTTTTAAGACTTAGTTTCTTTATCTTTCCAAGTTGTCAAAGATTACATTTAAAATTGACAGGAAAGCAAGCAAGAAAGGAGATGCTATTGAAATGAATGATGAAACAAAAAATATAGGATGACTACAGTATCATGGAACCTGGGACTGACTGATACACTACACAATTTCTTGGTGTTCTCCATCTCCTCTAACCTTTATACTCTTTGTGCCTCCTCTTCTTTATGGGTCCTTGAGACTTTAGGCAAAGAGTTTAGTGGAGGCATATAATTTAAGCCTTCTCTTATAAGATTTCTAACTCTCTGCATATTGTCAGGTTCTGAGAAGAAGGAAGTTTCTCTAAAGGACTCACAAAGTTTGATGTGATTTAAAATTATGATGGAAAAAAAATCTCATCATACAAGAATTGTGGTGAGAGAGGGGACAGGGGACTCCACAATAACCAATATATTTATAAACAGAGTGCATAACCCATGCCCATTACCTGCAATCTGTTTTGCCTCATCACTAATATTTAGCCTTTCTTATTTTGTTTTCTAGATGTTGTACTGTATTCACATGTACAATTATTTACACACATATATTATTAGCTAGACTGAACATATGAAATAAAACATGTGGTGTTTATGTTTTAATTCTGAGGTCATGTGAAATTTGAAGAGTGTAAAGCTAAATTGTTTTCTGAACTAATAATTCTGTCATGGGAAGGTTTTGTTGATAGATAGATCTATGAAGATATATTTGGTAGTGAAATTGCAAGATCCAATGCAAAGCTATACAGTTTTCATTGCAAATGGAAAATCTAACTGTATAGTAGTCCACTGAGATACACAGACTTTGGTTATGGTTAATTGTGTTGTTTTTGATATCATTTGCAAGGTGTATTATGATAGACTTTAATGTTTTTAATTATTCAAATATAAAGAGTATGGTTTTGGCCTCTTCCACATATTTATTAAAATTTCTGTCAGTAAATAATCCAGCATTAAACATTCTGTTTCCATATGCTTCACTCAGACCAAGCCCTGTAATTTACCGAAGAACAATAGTGCATGGGAATGTGAAATGACTACAAATAATGTGGCAGTGAAATAAAGATGATTAAAACTTCTTAGGTGCAGTCTTTGAGTTTTGAAAAATTGTCATCCATGAAATTACAGTAGCAATTATAACCATCTTTCCCAAAGGTGTTCTCAAATGTAAGCTTTCTGAGATTCTCTTTGGAAATCTTAGTTGTTTATAGCTACTGACCATAAGAGGTTATTGAAATTTAGTAATATTCTAGGACATCAGACATAATTAATTTCTGTGCCTCAGGTCATGTGTTAATTCATATAAAATTATAATATCATAGTGTATGATTGATCTTTAATGTCAGTCTCATCAACCAATGATATATCAACAGCAAGAGAAAAGAGAAGCCACAAAGAAGTACTGAAACATTGCAATGTAAGCCAATCAAAAAATAACTATAAAATTGAAATAGAATTTTTAAAATTAAAAATAAAAGTATTACAAAACAAAGGCTTCCAAGCAGTGGAGAAAGGGAAATTTTTATATCTATTTCATAAAACTAGTATGTGCATTTTTCCCTGCAGTATTTGTTTGATAGAGAAAGGTAAAATGTAGAGCTAAGAATAAGTAACTAGTGCTCGCTTCGGCAGCACATATACTAAAATTGGAACGATACAGAGAAGATTAGCATGGCCCCTGCCCAAAAATAAGTAACTAAAGGCACAAGCCTGTCAACGTTCAGTCCAAATAAGTCAGCTTTGTTTTGTAAGACAAATAAACAAACAAGAAAAACCTACTGAATTGGTAAATTCAACTCCACTAGAGGTTTAAGTATAGATCACCAAACAAAGAGAGAGAGTTCACAGGAGACAAAAAGCCAGGACTCATCAGGAAACTAAATGTGTGTACATTTACAGTGTGGTTGGGAAATGTGCTGTTTTTCAGTAGGGACTAATAGAAGAAAATGATAATCAAGACAAGTTATAGCTATTCTCCTCTTTTTAAAAACTGGACTTTTTGTATACTTGTATTAAGAATCAATCTAATCTCTAGAGAATAATTATCTCAACAATTACCTTTCTGAGTTCTGGGTATTAATATATTCAATTAGAAAAGCTATTTCCTAGTATTCTATTTTTCATAAATTTAATTTATATCCATGGAGGGGCTTCGGTAAAATGATTGGATATTATTTATTTTATTTATGTTGTTTCTCACCTCTTTTATGTCAGGGGAAATCATGTTACTTTCACAGCCAAGGATGAAGAGTTGTCATTCTACCTCTTTGCATATTGCATTTTTCCACCAGAGTTACTTTAAAGCTGATTTCCCATGCTATATAGATGGAATTATTTTTTCTTGAGTTTTCACTAGGACAGAAGAGAAAAGATGAAATTTTTTGTATAGATTTTTCTCTAGTTGTTCATTCCTAGTATATAGCTGTGTATGTACTAAATTATGTATTCATATATTTTGAAGAATATTTTTAATTGAGTCATATTCTGAGACTATAGACTATAGTTTTCCTTTTCCTTTGTTTTTTTTTTTTGTTTGTTTGTTTGTTTTGTTTTGTTTCCAAGAGTCTTGAGCTGGGTTTGGTGGTTCACAATCTTAATCTCTGTGCTTGGGAATCTGAAGCAGGGGAATTGATGTTGATGTACACAGTAAAAATACAATCAGTCCTAACATAATACATTCCTGGTTCTGAGACAACAAGACCCAGGCAGAGTTTGCTGGCATTTGCCCTGATACACTGGGCAAAGAGCTCATGTCATTTTGTCAACTGCAAATGTTTGTTGAGCATCCAGGAAGTACAGTGTACATGGTGATACTTGGAGAAAATGGGTATGCTTGCCAAAGCAATTCACATTAAAACATGTTATTAAGAAAACAGGAGGGGTGACTTGGAGTTGAGGGCATAAGCTAAAGGCATGTCACTCATTGAAAGCTTTGGATAGCCAACTTTCTCACTGGGCCTCATTCCCTTTGGAAAACTGGGAAAATGGAGGTATAAGAGGCACTAAACTGCCTAAATACTCCACAATATAATATAGATTATTCTGGTTTCTTTACCATTCATTCATTTGTTCAGAGGTAATGGAAATTTATCCATTTACATTAGAACTATAGAAAACAGACAAAGTTAGCTTCAAACATAGCTTCAAAGATCTACACTCTTGATTTCTTTCCCAAGTCACGGTTGTATAATTGTGAAGATGCTAGATCAAGGGAGGATGACGATCAGAATTCTCCCTTGAAATAGTGTTGGAAGAAGCAATGGACAAAATGTGATCCTGGAAGGCATGCTCTAAGCTTGTCACTTATAACTGGGTTGCTGCTGTGCTCCAGTTTAGCCTGATCCAAATAGGCCTAGAAAAAAATGGGCTTATAAATTAATGCCTTAATAAGGCTGTCTTGACAAATTGCAAGGAGACATATTCTATGAACTCTGCATGATGAAGAGCAAGCACTCTATATGCCTTAGCTATTACTATTATTGGGGGAAAATTAGTACTATCAAGTCAATAATTTTGGCTTAATATATATTAACTACCAGTAAAAGGTCAAGCTAAGAAGAAAAAAAGAAGTAGGCCCATAATTTGTGGAATTCTGGAAGCAAGTTTTACTCAAAATGTGTACTCTTATAATAAAACCACCATTCAGGTACTAGATCCTAAGCTCAGAAGTTAAGAGTAGAGGGGGTCAGATAGTTCTTTTCCTAGCACCCACAATGTAACTCACAGCCACCTGTATTTCCAGTGCCAGGAGAGCTGATGTCCTCTTCTGGCTATCTAGTGATCCAGACATGTATATGGTGCACAGCCTTGTATGCAGGCACTCAAACACACACACAATTATTTCTATTAAGGTTACCCCCTAAGTAGTCTACATGATTCTTTTACTCTCCTCTCCATTTGAAGTGCATATTGAAGAGAATTCCATGGAACCAAGCAGAAGGATACTTCCCCAAAAATTCACCTCTTTTTAAATAAGAAAAAATAGTATTTTCTTCACAAAGAGATGTTTTCTAGACATTCATTGGTAGGTAATAATGTTTCCTTCTTTAACAATAGCTTCAGTTAAGAGCTTAGTATTGTGGATGAATTTTGAGTAATTTGATTATTTGCTCTTCAAATTGCTTGCCCAATGACTATACCTGTCATATTTGAGCATATATATTGCAAATTCTAATTTTATCTCACTGATCATTCTTCTTCACTAAAATAGATCCAATGTACAAAAGTAATTCAAATGTTTGATATTTTACTTCCTAAAATTTTGAATCAGTGCTAAGTATTCTCTGTGTAAATGTTTTCAGTGTTTGAACAGTAAATTCCTTCACTATACTTATACAGGATTTGGTCTCCTTCCCTCCATCCTTCCCCAAAATCCTCAGGTTAATCTCTACTTGTTGGTGTCTCTGTTCCTGACTTTGTTCTTTACTATCCTTCTAGGGCTATAATTCCAGTAACATCTGGCCATGTTTATCTGTGGTACTTACTGCACTCCATCCTACACAATTAAAAAGTTCAGACTTCTATTTTAATTCATATCCTTCCATGGGCCTCATAATCACTTTTAAACCCATCCCTTGCTTATCTATTTCATGATCTTGACAATTTGCCCCGATTGTACCGTTCTCCATTAAGCAAACATACTGTTTTTTTTTTTCTTAGTAAATCTGTCAGTCTAGTCTCTCAGAATGTTCCTACTGCATTCTCCTTGTGGAAAAGCCAAAGCCATTTTTAAAATTAAACTGGGTATGTCACTGCCTCTTTGGATACCTGCTAGACAGAATTTGTAATCATTTTGACCTGTTACCACATTATTTTCATAGCATTAACCATAGCATGTAATTACAGAAACTTATTAAAATGGTTGGGAATTGTACTAGAGCCTAGAATAAGTCCCATCCTGGTGAATGGCTTATACAATGAAAATTTGCATGGCAAATTTATGGACAGGTATTGCACTTATTTTAGAATAAATACATTATCTAGGTGCTTTGATCAATTTCTTATTCTAATTTTTGGTAGTTTTAAAATATTTAGTATAAGGTGCATGACATATTTCCTCACATATTTACACAATTCCCTTTAAAGTTTCAAAAAATGCTAGTGGTAATGAACTAGGTAGCAAGTAGGGTGGAAGGGGCAAATTGAAGCAGGATCTCTGACTTTGCTGTTGCTGGTTGATGTCAAACCTCCCTACTGCATCTCCATTCTGTTACTCACTCAGGCACTGAGAAAATGGTCTACTCTTCTTCCTCACCTTCTTCCCCCTTCAGTTATCAGTTGTAGAATAATTATTTCTGTTCCTCCATGTTAATTATTAATGATTATCTGTCTGTGAAGTGTGGTAAGCTGGCCATATGCTGAGCACCCATGTGTCATCTATTCAGCTTTGCTACAATGGCATGTTAATTAATGGATGGCATAGGCAACAGAAATAGTTTTCTTTTGGTTCCAGGGATGGGAGTCTAGCACAAATGAAAGTTAGTGAGCAACCTGGGAAGCGTTGTTCCTAACTTTTTAAGCAAAACTTTCTATGTTCTCATAGTTCTTCTCTGTGTGTATCTGCGGGAAGGAATGGAGAACAGAAAATCACTTAGGAGTCTGAAACCATCAAATCACCCATGTTGATATGATCCATTTAATGAGTGAGCTTTTGATTCCCAGACCAGCAACATAGGGAGTCATGTCTGGGAAAAATGAACTGGATGGGGAGGACATAATGTACTAAATCCATCAGAGTACATTATTGTAAAATTAATGGTTATATGTTTAATAAAAGCATTGGTTTTGAAGTAGAATCCAGGACTATGATGTACATGTTTCCAGAAAGACATAGCTTTGGAGAAGTTGTCCAGGTCAGGCCTCACAAGATTCCCATACCAAATCTCTTCATTGATGTGACTATGTAGATTTTTTTTTCTCCTATAACTAGAAACAGCCCTTGTTTACACAATTTGTCCTTCTTGGCCTCTTGTTCAAATGCATCGTAGCCACTTTGATAAATACAATGGTTTAGTATTCAGTTTTAATCTGGTAAAATGTAGAATTACTTTGTATAAAGTATAGAAATATTTGTTTCCTTTATTATTGCAGTGTGTTTTAAAAATTACCCCTTCTTCTGTCTTTCCAAATATTTATTTAAAAATGTATCTGTAGCACCTTATCCCTCTATACATACCTTCTATGTAACTTGTTCATTATCTCTCCCTTCCCACCCATCTCTTTCTCTCTCTTTCTCTCTCTCTCTCTCTCTCTCTCTCTCTCTCTCTCTCTCTCTCTCTCTCTCTCTCACACACACACACACACACACACACACACAATGTACACACTGAGATTCCATGTGTAAAATTGCTTTAAATTTGTTAGGATGTGCAGGACTATTGACATCTTTTACCCAAAGCTATGCATTAAGGTAATTTCTAAAGGGCCTTGTTTACCTCTTCAAAGCAAGTTCAAATAGAAGTCACCTGTAGTTTGCATTACTGTTGCGTCATGTGACATATTGCTCAAGATTGTGATTTCATAGCACTCTCAAACTGACCTAGATTACCTTGTGAAAAAGAAGGTAAGTTATAGCTTTACTCAACACATAACAAATATGGGAAGCTATATGCAGTAAAGAAGCTCGATGATATCCCACATTCTCACTGCATAAGGCTGATCTCCCTTCATGAAAAAAATATGGTTTATTTATTACATCCTCAACTTGTCAAGACATCTTAATCTC